AAATATCTGAGATTGATCCAACTCCTTTGATTTATGATAAGAGAATGATCTTCCACACAAGGTGAGTCTCTCTGGAACAGGTTGTATATTAGCTGCTTAGTCCTAGTATGAATTAGCTAAAAGGAGCCCCAGTGGAGCAATGGTTAAGTGTTTAGCTGCTAGCTGAAAGATCATCCTTTTGAACCCACCAACTGCTCCATGGGAGAAAGATGTGGAAGTCTGCTTCTATAAAGATTAAGCTCTGGAAACCCAATGGAGAAGTTCAACTCTGTTCTATAGGGTTGCTATGAGTTGGAATTGACTCAACAGCAATGGGTATGAATCAGCTTATTGGCTCCTTTCCAACTCAGACAGAAAAAGGCCTTGGTTTGGAGTGTGGGTAGGGTGACGGAGTAGTTAAAAAAAGGAGGGGGGGAGTGGAAGGAAAAGAAGTCTAATATGAGGCATAAGAGGGTACCAGAAACCATGCATGTCTCTACAGTTTTGCTCTTTGGTACCATATTTCCTGTATGGAAAACCAAAAAAAAAAACCAAACTCACTGCTGTTGAGTTGGATCCAACTCATAGTGACCCCACCTTGGGTTTCCGAGGCAGTATCTTTACGGAAGTAGATTGCCAACCTTCCTTCCGAGGAGTGCCTGGTGGGTTTGAACCACCAGCCTTCTGGTTAGCAGTCAAATGCCTTAGGCACTATGCCACCAGAGCTCCCCTTCCTGTATGGAAACATAATGGTAAAAACTTAAAATCTCTAGTCCCCCAGTGCCTTTCCCTTAGAAGGCAAAAGATCAGGAAATCATAATCCCTTCTAAGACTAATGTCTTCACTAAGCAAATGCCAATAAATCAACAACAAATATGACATTTCTATTGAGAGACCATGCTTCATGTGAATACCTAGCTCTTATGTAAAATTAATCTAATTTTACCATGTAAGAGTTTGGAGAAGCCCCAAATCAATTTGCTAGTGAACACAAATATTGCATATTTATTGCTGTTAAATGCCCTCGGACTGTAGAAGTAATCCGTGTTCAACTACAGTTTGTGGGATGCATCTTGAAAGAGACTTTCAGACAATCAAGCCATATATTCACTCTTGTTCCCGTCAGAGTGTGTTCTGTTCTCGGCCCAGCGTGGAAGCTAATATCATAAAGCCATTGTTTCAGTTTGCTTCCTGTGATACGAATCTCAATGGGGCCCAGACCCACAGCCTGAATTTCTCAATGTTGAGGTTTCCTCTCCAACATTCCCACACAAAACAGCCTACTGTGAAAATCAAAGGGAAATGTGTTACTAAGTAAAGAAGCAACTTTTCTAAAGCAAAGCCTGGCAGTTTTTAGCCTTTTGAACTCTGAGGTATGCAACCAGTTATTTCCTATCATAAAGTGAGCCAACACTGGTGCTCACCTTTGTCAGAAATGCTTAGATAATGAATTTGTGATTTGTTTTGACTTGGAAAAGCTTGGCAACATTGCATTTTGATAGAAATTGCTGAAAGGTGGGTAAAAGGGATAGTAAGGGTTTATTTACACTGGGTTTTCTCCAGAAGCCTACACTTACTATAAACCAATTTACTTGTTAGCAATAATTTTTACTTTTAAACTGTACCTTATTGAGAGCTTAATATGTGGCAGGCAATGAGATAAAGTCTTTCATGTCCCAGTATCTCAATTCTCAAACAACAATGCAAGGTAAGTACTTACAATCTCCTTTGGGTAGATGAGGAAACTAAGGCTCAAAGACAGTAAAGACATTTCCACAAGGTTGTATAGAAAAAGGAAGGGCAGCCAAACAGATCTCAATGAAGGTGTATCTTACCACCAATCTCATACTTCTTTTCATTTTGCTACATGTTCTGTAAAACAAAATGCAATTACCCACCCATTGCCATCGAGTTGATTCCAACTCACAGTGACCCTATAAGGCAGAGCAGAAGTACAACATAGGGTCTCCAAAGCTGTAAATCTTACATTACCAGACTGCCTCATGTTTCTCCCATGGAGTGACTGGTGGGTTCAAACCGCCAACTTTTTGGTTAGCAGTCGAATGCCTTAACCCCTGCACCACCAGAGCTCCTTAAAATGCAATTAGAAAAGAAAAAAGATTCTGTTTCACATACAATTCCTGAAAACAATTTCTAAGAAATGCCTGGTCCAGAGAATGTGTGACAGAGCCTACAAGAGAAGTTAGAAGAAAGGGGATATTGAAGAGCCACCTTCTCCTCCTCCAGGTTATCCTCCTTTTATGAGAACTTCTCCTTCAAGAGTACCAGACCAGATGGTCAAATGTAGAAACACTTTATCCTTTTACATCATTTCTTTCCTCAGGACAGTGAGGGCCAGAACTGACGTGTTGCAGAGGGCAGGCAGTGTATGTCCACAACTTGCAACAGCTCCTGAGTTGGGACATGTGATGTCGCAGTGTGGCCTACTCTGGTCCTATCTCCCTGGGTGTGTCTAGCATATGGGCTCCCAGCAGCATACACAAAGGCGGACATGCTCAGAGGGGCCACCCTTCAGCACGTGGTCCCTTCCAAGTCTGAGAAGATGACCAGGCTCCCCGTGTAAAGCATGGACAACAAGGCCCTGAATCAAGAGAAAGGATATAATCAACACAGTGAATATCTGAGGACCACCTCCCCCAAACTCACTACTTAGGGTTGGTGCCTCAGTTGAACTTTGGCTCCCTTGCCTTATCCTTCCCCTCTCCCCATCAAATCCTTGACAACATCTTCACCTGACCAAGTTTTCAGAAACCTCCTGTCATCTCATACCTATCTTTTCCAGGGATCAAGATTCAAAAGAACTTGAATTCCAGGTATAGATCCAACACATGCTAAATCTGTGACTCTAAACAACCTTAACCTCTCTGTGCCTCATTTCCATGAAACAAAGAGGTCCGTCTGCCAGGCTCTGAGGTCTGAAACATTCTGCAGGTTCAAATCCAGCCAGAGAGGTGTCCCAGAACAAATGGATTACAGTAAAACCTACAAAAGCCAGAACCTGGGTAAGGTGAATCTGTCAGAGAAGGAAAACTCAAATATTTTCCACTAAACTGAGTGGCAGAAAAGTGGTAAGACTGAACCCTGTCAAAGGTGGAAAACTTGTGAGACCCAGAAAAACAAGGTAGTCCAGCTCTCACAGGTTTCACTGTATCCCTTCTGGGGCTACTATTGGTGGGATGAGGGGAGTGAAGGTGAAAAGAAGCATTAGTTACCCTAAAGGAACTAATTTCTAACAGTAAAAATTCAGATCCTATAATAGAGAAGTGGAGGAGCTCTGGTAGCATAGTGCCTAAGGCACTTGACTGCTAACCAGAAGGCTGGCGGTTCAAACCCACCAGCCACTCCTCGGAAGGAAGGTTGGGCATTCCTACTTCCGTAGTGATACTGCCTCGGAAACCCAAGGAGGGGTCGCTATGAGTCGGGGCTGACTCGATGGCAAATAACAACAACAACAATAGAGAAGTGGAGGAGATAATTCTCCATCCAGTCACCCTAAACTGGCAACTGTCTGTTCGTCTATGTGTAAAGATGATGACAACATTATCAGCCATTGCTTCTACCTTTGCAGGAAAACAAGCTATGGTGCTTAAAGAAAGAAGTACACAAGTGCCTTGTGATGGCTTCGCTAGCCTTTTCTTATATGCAGTCATCCCAGGCTTGAAAGGATGTCAGTCCATTGCTCCTGTCTTTCTGTACCAACTATAACTAAGAATCTGGCAATGCTTTGCATTATTTCTTTGAAAGTATTTATAGAGCTTGGGATTGTCCTTGGTGCCCCACTCCAGTCTGCTGTTCTCTGAGATGCTGCACAATTAAATCTTTTAGACTTGCAGTACAGTGTTAGCCCTCCAACTCTTGGGACCACTGAGCTGTCATCCTATTTTTCTCAAAGTCTTTCCCCCCATATCCTTCCTGTGCCACAGGGACCAGAATAGCACAAGCTGGCCTGGCCTCTTGGTCTCACACCAGATTCCCTCTGCTCAGGGTTTCTTTCCTAGAATAGCCAGTTCATAACAGGATGGTGGGATCAACCCGTCTCCTAGGCACCATGCTCACTCAAGAAAACCGAAAACCAACCATAAGGAACCTTCCCTTTCCTGGCCATCTCCCTCAAATTCACCACTTCGGACACTGCCCACCTATATAGTGGGCAGACTGGGTGGAAGGGACATTACATGCCAGCAGTTTCCTTACAAAATTGACAGTCTAGATGGGAATTTTCACAGTATCTGAAGTGGGAAAATTCCTCAGGCCATCTCTTTCAGGTCAGAACTAACAGGAAGTGGTTTTTGAAGAATAGGAATTCTTTCTGAGGAGGGGAAAAAAAAATGTTTTGTGACATTGAGAGCTACAGAGAGACAAGATGTGCATGTGTGTGTGTGGGTGGGGGGGGGTGAGAACTAGTTGGTCCCCCTGGGAGGGGCCAGGCTTTGGGTTGTGTGAATGACTGTGGCTGGGCCAGGTGCTTTATCGGCATCTTAGAGTATTCTCACAGAGGTATTTTTAACCTCATTTTACAGACAAGGAAACAAATGTTCAGAGAGATCAAATAATTTGCCTAGAATAAGTGGCCAAGATGCCACTCTGGAAAAGGTTAAGTAGGAAGATAAGAGCCAAAACACTTCCTAAGGATTCAAGCCAGTGTGGAGTGTGGGTCTCAGAGCCAGATGGCAACGAGACTGGGGAGTCAACAAGGGCTGTTCTTAGTTCTCCTGGTCCCCTTTGTCCTCCTTTCAGCTTCCAGGTCCTCATTCATTCCCTGGTCCCATCTCAGGCTTTTACATTCAATGTAAAATGTCCTTGCTAGAAAGGACATGTTTAACCTGAAGGAATTATTCAAAGTGCTCATGATGGCATTTCTGCAGGTGAAAGCATTTCAGAATGGGAGTTCCTGAGACCTCCCCAGCAGTCTTCAAATTCTGGCACAACATGGCCTCCCATGTATAGGGACATGTTGGGAAGCCTGTCTGCTCCAGCCTGGGGGAGTGTGCCAGCCTCACCTGAAGACAAAAGCTTGTGTGTTCGCAAGAAGCTGATAGCCAGCCGCATGATGGAGGCCTTGTCCAGGTGGGAGCTTACGCTGTGAGGCAGGGGCAATTCATGTGCAAGCTCATGGAAGACCTCTGTCTCCTTGCTTCGCCGGCACCTTGCAGCATCTCGGGACTTCTCCTTCCTCCTCTCCGAGCTACTCCTAAAATTGAGAGAAAAGGTGTTAGTCACTAACAACCTATTACGGTGAAATCTGTGAGAGCCAGAACTTGATGGGACTGCCTTGTTTTTCCAGGTCTTATAAGCCTTCCACCTTTGATAGGGGGCATTCTTACTTTTCTATCACTCATTTTAGTGGAAAATATTTGAGTTTTCCTTTTCTGATAGGTTTTTGGCTTACATGCAGTCTGGCTTTTACGGATTTTACCATATATTCCTGATCAAGACATCCCCATGGTCCCCTAAACCTTGATGCAGTCAAACTCTTCCACCAACTGGGCTTATACTAATGGTCCAAGTCACATGCATCCCACTTTATAGTATTAATGTTTTCAACTGTTTTCTAAACAGCCTTCCTACTCTTTTATTCCCATGGTGTCCAGATCAGGGCTTCCCATGAATGGAGTTTCAGCTAAGACTTGCTGATTAATTAACTGACAATGCCTTAAACCTGGTCCTGGGTTATCTGGGGACTGCGGTGAACGTCCAGGGAGAAGAAGGGAAGGATGAGGAAGCTATGGCCAGCAACCCAGGTGGCTGGGCCAAAGGCCCTGTAGAATAAGAAGAAACACTGCTTCAAGATATTTTTTCTGGATAAAATGCACTCAGAAAAAATTAAGCCCAGCTCTGGACCTTCGATCATATGTGTATCAGACAGTTATTTTCATTGTGCGTCAATGGCCATTGTAACTGTTATGGATTGAATTGTGTTCCTCTAAAATAAATGTTGTAAATACTAACCTCTATGACTGTGGTTATAATCCCATTTGGGAATGGGTTGTCTTTGTTATGTTAATGAGGCAGGATTACTATAGAGTATGTTTTCAGTCAATCTCTTGAAAGAGATACCAGGAGCAGATTAGGCCAGCAGAGATGGGAGAAGAGAGATGCTAAGCCAATGGAGACCAACCAGGAGCAGAAGCTCAGAAGAGACAAGGACCTTCTTCCAGAGCCAAGAGAGAAAGCCTTTCCCTAGTGCCAGCATCCCAGATTCAGACTTCTAGCTTCCTGAACTGTGTGCTCATGGAAGCAGCAGTCAAGATATCAAACGATGTACTGCACTGGGCAAATATGTTGCAAGAGACTCCTTTAAAGTGTTAAAGAGCCAGGATGTCACTTTGAAGATTAAGGTACACCTGACCCAAGCCATGGCATTTTTAATAGCCTTATATGCATGTGAGAACTGGACAATGAATAAAGAACTGTAGAAGAATGGGGAGCTCTGGAAGTATAGTGCCTAAGGCACTTGACTGCTAAACAGAAGGCTGGCGGTTCAAACCCACCAGCCACTCCTCAGAAGGAAGGTTGGGCAATCTACTTCCATAATGATATCGCCTCAGAAACCCAAGGAGCGGTCGCTATGAGTCAGATCCAGCTCGACAGCAGTGCGTTTTGTTTTGTTTTGCAGAAGAATGGATGTATTTGATTCGTAGTGTTGGTGAAGAATACTGATATACCATGGACTGCCAGAAGAATGAACAAATACGTCTTGGAAGAAGTACAGCCAGAATGTTCCTTAGAAGTGAGAATGGGGTACTTTGGTCATATTGTCAGAAGGGACAAGTCCCTGGAGAAGGATATCATGCTGGTAAAGTAGAGGGTCAGTAAAAAAGGGGAAGACCCTCAGCCAGATAGTTGACACAGTGGCTGCAATGATGGACTCAAGCATAGCAAAGATTGTGAGGCTAGCCCAAGACTGAGCAGTGTTTTATTCTGTAACACATAGTGTCACTATCAGTTGGAACCAACTTGAGGGTACCTAATAATAACAGCAATATTTATGGAAGCAGACTGCCATAGCAGACTGCTCCTGAGGAGTGATTGGTGGGTTTGAACCACTGACCTTTTGGTTAGTAGCCGAGCGCTTAACCACTGCATCACCAGAGCTCCTTATAATGATAACTATCACACACTATATTTCAGATACTGTGCTAAGCACTCCAAATAAATTTACTTCTGTAATTTTCACAACTATTCTTGGAAGAAGATATCATTATTATTCCCAATTTGCAAACAAGGAAACATCTCATAGAGGCCAAATATTTCATGTAAGGTCCCTTAGCAGGTAAGTGGAAAAGTTGGGGCCTGTGCCATCCATTACTCTCCTATCTCTCTAAACCCAAAAATGTTAGCAGTCTCAGGGTGGTTAGGGTAAGGGTGATTTTTTTTTTCCCCTTAGTGCTTATCTATATCCCTCTGTTTCTACAAATAACCTACATGGCTTGTTAAATAAAGAAACAAGTTTGTTTTAAATGATGTGATCTGGTGTGATCAGCCAATCAGTTGTGAGGGGATTAGGGTGGATACAACACCCTCACTTAGGTCACAGCCCTGATACAATGTAAGCAGAGTTTCCCTGGGATGCGGCCTGCATCATTCTATTATCTTACAAGAGATAGAAGGAGAGACAAGTGAGCAGAGAGAAGAGGACCTCAGTACCACCAAAGAAGAGTCAGGAGCTAAGCATGTCCTCTGGATCCAGGGTCCCTGCACTGAGAACCTCCTAACCTAGGGGAAGACTGATGCCGAGACACATGTAGATCTCCAAGGAATGCCGGGCCCACAGATGTTGAAAAGTAACAAGAACCTTCCTCCAGAGCTGGTAGAGAAAGCCTTCCCCAAGAGCCAGTACTCTGAATTCAGACTTTTAGCCTCCTAACTATGAGAGAATAAATTTGTTTGTTAAAGCCATCTACTTGTGGTATTTCTGTTATAGTAGTACTAGATAGGTAGACAGCATCAGTGCTCAATATGCTCCCATTTTAAAAACAGAACATTCAGCTCCCTGGATGGATTAAGTATCCTATATTCAGACTGTAGGAAGAACTTTTCAACAGCTGTTGGCAGTCAAGAAGAACCTTCAGAAAAATTGTGAAATGGGTAAAACTGTTTTTCTTGCCCCATCTCTCTTTTCTATTTCCTTTTTGTAAGTCCGGATTCTTCTTTTCCCCCAGCTTCTAACTCCCAGGACTCTCAGCCCTGTACCCCCAGACCCACCCTCTCAGAATCTGCCTTAGGAAGATTTTGCTACCAGACCTTTATCCTTTAGCGGCAGTTTACATTTTAGACTCTGCCATTCACATTTGTAGGCGTTCTGGCACAAGAAAGGAACAGGACACCAAAACACTACACATCATGCCTTTGGGTCACAAGAGCCAGGTAAGGGAATCAGGTAAAGGGAAGTCAGAACCTTTAAGATACTGGGCTCTACTCTCCAGCACCTACTCTTGTACTCTATGACAAATGCATGCATCATCAACACATAACCTATCCATAGCAGCATCAAGAAAACCAGCACAGAAGTGGAAGAGATGTTCAACAAAGACTGTGATATTGACGCTGACATCTGTATGCACAAAACTTCCTTTTACTGTTGCCCCTTCCTTAGAGCAGAAATGTGGATAAGGCAGAGAGGAAGAGCCTGGTAGGGAATAAGCAATCTGGAGTCAATGCTGTCTGGAAATGGCGTTTGATATTAAAGTCTTGCCATGTTCCCTCAACTACTCAAACACTGACGCCTACTTTTGTGCCCATTACCGCACAAAAAACTTTACATGTTACCTCATTATGAACCTCATAAGCACACAATATGGTAGGTATTATTTGCATAATTTACAGATTTGAAAATTGAAGTTCAGACATAATACATAATTTGCCTAAGATCAAATTTCTACACAAGCCCTTGAGGGATTTACAGTATCTACAGGAGCAGATAACTGGAACTCATAAGACACACGGGTATGGGTGCCCCCTGCATTAATCATATCCTCATGACCAATCTGTGAGGTAGGCAAGACAGGCATTGTTATACCAATTTCACAGGTTTATAAACTGAGGCCCAACCAGGGTAATTTACATGCCTAGTGTGTCTCAAGGAGCTCTGGTAGCGTAGTGCCTAAGGCACTTGACTGCTAACCAGAAGGCTGGCAGTTCAAATCCACCAGCCACTCCTTGGAAGGAAGGTTGGGCAATCTACTTCCATAGTGATACCACCTCAGAAACCCAAAGAAAGGTCGCTATGAGTCGGGTCTGACTCGACAGCACATGACAACAACAACAACAACAACAACAGGGCATCTCAGTTAATTAGTGGCAGAGCTAGGTCTAGTTAGTTTACACATGTTTTCTTAGGCCAATACTCTTTTCACCACATTACCGTAAGGAAGTGGCTTAGCAAGAAATAAAGAATTAACAACATTTTAATACTTAGAAAGACTGAGAATCTCATAGACTTTTGGTTAAAAAGCCATCATCTCCATTTTAACTGCCTTGTTTTCACAATTGCACTCTAGGCCTAGCATGAATTGAATTAGATTATCCAGTTAAACTTGACAGAGCCCAGACGCATCTGTCTAATCAACTTTTGGAAGAACAGACAAAAATTGACAATGTTGCCATCATTTAATTAGCAACACCAAAGAATAATTTACACTAAGTGTGAAGGTAAGAACTCCCTAAACCCAACTGATGCATATACAATCTTGTTCCTCACACAATTTATCACAGGTTAAGCCTGTTAGCAAATAGAACTGGATGTTGAGAAAGATGGTGCTTTAATATATTGGCCATAATACTATTCATATATGTGCTTTTGGATTGAAAAAAATACATTTGCTGTGCCTTGATACCCTCATCTGTAAAGCAGAGAAATCTCATGCCTTATTTTGTCAGGATCAAATGAGATTAAGAGTGGAAGTGTTGGAAGTACTAGAAAGCGCTCTTCAAAGGAAAGCTATGATGATAGATAATAATGGTCCCATTGTCTGGCTAATCTCAGCATTAGTCACATTCAGTTTTTGGCCCTAACAGCTGTACTTCATCACTAAATAAATGGAGTCTCCAGGCTGGAGGTAGAGTTGTCAGTCAGGCTGTTCCTCACCAGTTCTCTATGCCATGTTGCTAACCCTACTTAGTTCAATGAGGTTTCATTTCCTAAACACATGCATTTCATTTTCTCATCCAAGATGGGCCCTACAATTAATT